AGGGTGGCTCCGTTGGTTAAGCTTCCAGCTCTAGATTTCGGCTCAGGTCATGATCTCATGGTTTGTGAGTTCAAGCCCAGCATTGGGTTCTGTGCTGACAACTTGGAGCCTGCTTGGGATTCTCTCCCTCCCTCTCTCTAAAAATAAATGAATAAACTTTATTTTTTAAAAAGCCAACATGAATAATGCAAATTAATAGTAAACTCAGAAAGCTAACAGGAAAATTAAATTGGCTTGGAAAGGCGTCTTCTTTTTATAAACCAAGCAGAAGGGGCACCTGGGTGGCTCAGTCGGTTGAGTGTCTGACTTCAGCTCAGGTCATGATGTCATAGTTCATGGGTCTGAGCCCCATGTCAGGCTCTGTGCTGACAGCTCAGAGCCTGGAGCCTGCTTCACGTTCTGTCTCCCTCTCTCTCTGCCCCTTCCCCAGTCATGCTGTCTGTCTCTCTCTCTCTCTCAAAAATGAACATTAAAAAAAAAAAAAAAGTGTATATATAAACCAAGAAGAAAGATAATAGCCCCAGAGTGGAAACAACCCAAAGGTCCACCTGCTTATCCATGGATAAGTAAAATATGGTGTGACCACACACCAGAATATTATTTAGCGATATAAAGGGATGGAGCACTGACTGACACGTGTTACAACATGGATAAATCTTGAAAACGTGATGATAAGTTAATGAAGCCAATCATAAAAGACCACATAGTGTATGGCCCCATTTATACAAAACGTCAGGAATAGGGAAATTCGTAGACACAGAAAACCAATTATTGGCCCCCCAGGGCTGGGGGGAGGGAGGAATGAGGAGTGACCCTTAACGGGTACAGGGTTTCTTGTGGCAGCGACAGTGTTTTCAGGTTCATTGTGGTGACAACGGCACAATTCTGTGAACATACTAAAAACCACTGAATCGTAACCCCTTCAATGGGTGGACTGAATGTGAATTTTATCTCAGCAAAAGCTGGTCTCAAGAAAACAAGAGGAAAGAACTGTAAAAGCTAAAGCGAGTGAGATGCAGAGAGGACAGAAAGTTCCCTAGGGTCAAAGGAAAAGAGACCTGTTATCTGGCATTTCACTCTCCGTGGGGCCCTGGGACCCAAGACCGCGTGGTGGGTCAGAAGGCTCCCTGCCGTCCGCCATCTTGAATCAGGCACAGCCGGGCCACACAGTTTCCTGGGCGCATCCCGAGCCTCCCTGAGGAGGCACCCGGGACTCTGTCTTTCTACAAAGCTCTCCATGGAGGTGGCTCTCCACAGTGGCTAAGAGCACGGACGGCTTCAGGAGCAAGAAGCTGGTTCAAATCCCAGCTCCACCATCTACCGGTCACATGAGCTGAGGCGAGTGGCTTAGTCCCTCAGTCATTTCATCCTCAAATAACAGACTCTACGGCATAGGGCTGTTGAGGGAATGAAACTGATTTTCAAAAGGACTTAGCACCCTGGCTGCCCACTGCGAGTGTTCCAGGACATCAGCTATGGTCGCCGTCACTGTCACCATCACCATGGTGCAAAAGTCGGGAGCTCACTGGGTGAGCACATCGTTACTGATCCTGACACTGGGGACTTTCCTCAGCGGTCCCAATTTTTTCCTTAGCTTTCTCTTCCATCTTGACAAATATTTCGTATTCGTTGTGCGTTATCTCGGAAAAATATGTGTGTGTCTACATATATACATTTAAATTTGCTCCTCGAGGTAGGTAGTGGATTTTAGAGACTGCCGGTCATGTTTCTAACACTTACCAGAAACATTTTTTCTTCTGGGATACTGGGGGCCAGGGTCCCTCCCTCTTCTCACCTAACTGCCTAAAATAGAGACAGAGGCTGTGTCTCTGTCTCTCTCTGCCCTGCCACCCCCCCCCCCCAGACTCTGTCTCTCTCTCTCTCTCAAAAATAAATAAACACTAGAAAAAGGGGGGGGTGGCGCGTGGGTGGCTCAGTTGGTCAGGCGTCCGACTTCAGCTCAAGTCATGATCTCACGGCTGGTGAGTTCGAGCCCCGCGTTGGGCTCCAGCTCAGAGCCCGGAGCCTGCTTCGGATTCTGTGTCTCCCTTTCTGTCTCTGCCCCTCCCCTGCTCTCTCTCTCTCTCTCTCTCAAAAATAAACATTAAAATAATTTTTTTTAAGTAGAGACGGAGGGTACGAAGATGCATATAAGTGTGGGCCTCGTTTTCTCCGTGTCTCTGTTACCAGAGGTTGAGACCCTTATGCCTACACACGTCGTTCAACGAAATAAGTGATAAATGGGTTAATAACCACAGTAGCAATGAACGATCCCCGTTAATTGAGCGCTTACTGTGTGCCAGACGGTGTGATGCACTTGACACGTTATCCCCGTGAGGCCCCCACTGTAACACGCCTCGCCGTTCGGCGCCAAACATTCTGCTTCCCTCTCAGTGGGAGAATCGGGGGCTGAGGAGTTACCATACGCCTCCTTTTTGCCAGTAAAATGCGGGCACCAGGGACACGTGTCTCTTCCACGTGGCGGCTTTAAGAGCCAGTACCTCGCTCCCCATTTCCCTTTTCCCTCTGCCCTGAGACCAGCAACATCCCAGCTGGGAGCTGCTCACTCGCCCCCCCCAGGTGGAAGCCATATTGGAGGCAGGACACAGACAACGCAGAGAAGGAGCGTGAGGAGTGAGCGTTGGTTGTGGCCAGTCGCTGAGAGTTTAGGGTGTTTTCTTTTTTGTCTTTTAAAGACCGGAACATTCTTTTTTTTTTTTTTTAAGTTTACTTATTTATTTCGAGAGAGAGAGGATGCACGCGAGCGTGCGCGCGAGGGAGGGACAGAGAGAGAGAGAGAGAGAGAGAGAGAGAATTCTAAGCAGGCTCCACGCTGTCGGCACAGAGCCCAACCCGGGGCTCGATCTCACGAACCGTGAGATGGTGACCTGAGCCGAAATCCGGAGTCAGCCGCTTAACCAACTGAGCCACCCAGGCGCCCCTGGGATGTTTTCTTACGCAGCACTGCCCAACCTGAGCTGACACGGGTACACCTTCATTTAACAGTAAAGAAAACTGGGGCTCGGGGTGAAGTCACTTCCAAGGTCAAAGTCAAGGTTTGAACCCAGGTCTGCTTGACCCACCGCCAAGTCCCTCAGCACCTCCACTCTGTGGCATCATCAGAAGTTTGGTAGACCGTTTGCTTAGGCCTGGGTACCACAGCACAGAGCTTCAGGGCAATGGCCCTGGAGTCAGAAGAAAAGCAAACAAACAAAAAAAACGACGAAGGATCCCCTGAATGAACCAAATCCAGCTGATTCCACTTGCAACACGGAGACGGAAGTACGTGTGGCATGAGGCAAACTGGCTTCCAAACTTCGCGGCAGAACCAAAGCTTGACGCAAGCCGAGCGTGGCATTTGGGACACTTCCTCCGTATCGTCAACGGCTTCATGAAGCCATTACCCCCAGAAGCTCCGCCTCTGCCCTCTGGCTTTGCTCTCAGCGCCTGGGGCTCCTGAAGCTGCCCAGGGGGCCCCCCCTCGCACGGAGCTGGGGCTCCACTCACCCCGCGGGGCCTTCCCCGTTGACGCCCCGATCCACGCCAAAGGCCAGGTCCTTCTGTGTGGACTCCTCCTCTGGCTTCCTGGCATGGAGGAAAACGCAGGGTGAGGAACGGGGACGGGGCAAGCGGAGGAGGAATTCTCCGGACGCAGACCCAAACTTCTCCACCCAGAGACATTGGCAGGGAGACAGCGAGGAACTTTCCTAGACTCACCCCAAAGGGATCTCCCCCCCCCCCC